TCTCTCTCTCTCTCTCTTCCTTAACCGACGGAGCCTACGAGAAGAGTGTAAATAAAGTGGGGCTCGTGCGACACAAGGATGTCACGTCGCCGCGAGGTTCCTGGCTCCGTCCGACCTTTTTTCCCACGTGTCCGTGCTTCGTCCGCCTGGATCCAGCTGAACGGCGCCTCCTGGATTCGACGGTTGCCCCGTGAGATCCCTGTAGCGGCATTTCGCAACGTCCCACCGGGCCAAAGGCGCGCATCCGAGTTCTCCAAAGTTCAGTAAGAAACTGTAAGAGCGTGCGCATCGCGATAGTCGCGTCCTGTCTTATTGTTAGACACAACTTATAGTTAGTATGCAATTCCCTGCGTCTGTCTTTCTCGCACGCAGTTCAACATTCACATAGCCAGAGAGAAAGCCGAGGCTCCAGACTTGCGCGCGACTTCCGCTGCAAATTGAGAGGCTGCTTCGTCTCCAGTTTTCAGCTCTCGCTCGCCGGTTCTTCGGTGTCTGACTGCCCACTGCCGGACGCACGTACACGTGCACGCGAATCCTCTTGGCTCCTTCGTTCTCCTTCGTTCCTCTTCGTGTTCTCTCGGCTGTCGTTCGTCTTCCGGCTTTCAACGAAAACCGGTTTTTTCATTGGCTCATTTGACTGGCGCTCAGGGCGAGCGCCGCGGCGCGCGACTCATCGGCAAATGCGTGTTTACGAGCGAGCCGATCCGCCGGATTGCCTCCCGAAACCCGTCGACCGGCTTCGCCGTCTTTCACGCTTAACGCGAGCCTCAATTTCTGCGACGCCCGCACGCATTGCGGATTGCGGAATCGTGCAAGCTGCCACGCACTTTCTAAAAAGCTGAAAAATCAAAAGGTTAAGAAGCCAAAAAGAGTGCGGACCTTGAGGTCTTCGAGAACAGCCTTTGCCCACGTAATCTCCCGAAATCCCCCGAAATCCTCTTCTTGCTGCACAGCACGACCTCACTGAGTAGAGACGCGCGGCAACTCCAGGCACTCCTTCCAGGATGGGGATCAGCGCGGTACATTGTGGTACATCGTGGCACAGCATCCAAAGACTCCGTTCCCTGAGCCAATTCCACGACCAAGATCGTCCCACTTTCTGTATGTGCTTCTTTACAGGTGTCCTGCGTAATGCACCCTCGGCAATGGGTACGTGTGCAGCCACGATGCGCGCTATAGGTAAAAAAGAACGCGGTAGAATAACGGAGTGAAGAGTAAGGGAGGCAACCAGGAGCGGAAGCATCGCAGCAGTTCGGAAAACGTCCTCGCGGAGTAAGCGCAAAGGTGTGCACTCGTTTACTAGGTATAGCAGGTTACGTGGAGCGTGAAGGAAGTTCGCCCCACGCAGTTCGCCACGTGTTCCCACGTGGTTATGGTCAGGAGATGTAGAAGCGGTGGGCGTTAAAAGCGAGAGAGCACGAGGAGAGGAGGCCGATAGTGCATGAATGGAGGTTGGACCGGAAGGGAGGAGGAGAGGAGGAGAGGGGAAGAAGAGGACGGCAGAAGTGTCGACGGAAAACGGGACCGTCGATGCATGGAGATCAGGGCGAGTCGGGCGACCCCGGTATCACGGAGCTGCCGTCTGCCTGGCCTGGCATGTGGATGCTGCCTTGTCGCTGGCATGGAAACGCGGCTATATTCGTCTCTCTCGAGTGTGACGTAGTCGCGGCGCGGCAACGAAAGATTCAGTGGGGTAGGGTAGGGTTAGGTGGCCAGTGGGTATAGGACGCGTCGGGGTAAGCCAGGACTCGGTAGGGTGCTGCGCCGCCTGAGGTGGTGAGGATGACTGACGTCACCGTAGCAGCATCATCCCGGCGTCGGCCAATAGGGGCGCGCGCCAGCGGCCCATCGATCCGCCGTGCGCTCCCTGGTATGACGTCCGCGGTGACGTCACCGAAGCGCCGTTCTCCGCTACACACGGTACGGTTTTAATATAGCGGAGAACCGCGCGCGTTCCGGACTCAGTTACGCGGAGGCCGGCCTTTCGAGCGCGTCTCGTTGCTCTCTCCTCTAGCCCGAGGCACAGCCACGTTACTACCAGTTAGCGCAGGCCTGTGCAGAAGACGTCGCGAGCCGATAGGAGTTGCGGCCGAGCTGAGGACCGTGTCTCTTAAGACGTCAAAGTACGCGAATGTCGTGTGAGGCTCCTTCCGATCACGCGTTCTTATAAAGATCAGAGAGAGAGAGAGAGAGAGAGAGAGAGAGAGACGGCTAGAAGATAACAGTAAGGAACTGTGGAGCGTGGCGAGAGGCGCCGGATGCCAGTGAAATGGCACGAATCGGTTATCTCGAGCTGTCCTTTCTCTCTTCAACTTGAGGAGATTCTCGCGTATCTCTCTGCCATCTATTCCCAGTGACAGGACGCATCTTCAAGCACGCGGAATTCACCCCATGGTCTACGAGGTGATTGCGTAACTATCGTCGAGTTCTGAAAGAACCAGAGAGAGAGAGAGAGAGAGAGAGAGAGAGAGAGAGATAAAAGGCTCGCTCCCGAACTGGCCGAGTCGGTTGATCTCATCGGATTCCGGAGATCGGAAGAGTCTCAAATGCCAGAAGAGGAACTCTAGTCGCGTCCTCGGGCTAAGACGCGAACGCCAGTAGAATCGCGAGTGAATCGGCTGCATATGCGTGTCCCGCGGGTCGCAACGTTCGGACTCCTCGACGAGGCAAAGACGCTTACCTGGAAGGAAGCCACTTCCTCGACGGGGATCCTCGCAGGTCGGTGTAGTCGTCGGTAAGGTGTACCCGTAGCACCATGGTCCATGTCCCCCAGCTTCACCGCTTTCTCAACTCTTTCTTGCACGTTCGCACCTCTAAAGATATTCCGATCTCGCAACCACCCTTTAACGAGTAACCTCGAGCAATCCCGAACCATCCCCTTGAAGGACGCCGACCAGAACGCTCGCGCGTCATAGACGGTGCGTCGCGGCGCTTGCTTTAAGAGATATACCGATTGACGCCGCGGCGCCCATTCAGCCGGACTATTATACAAAGCACGCATCACTGGCTGTCGCTTCTAGCAAATCGTTGTGTGTTAATTTGTCTTTGTGCTGTCCATTCCCCCGTCTCTCTCTCTCTCTCTCTCTCTCTCTCTCTCTCTCTCTCTCTCTCTCTCTCT